CTTTTTATATGAATTTTAGATTTGTTATACATTTTTCTTCCATTCTAACTGGAGCGTTCTATAGTCAGAAGGGTCAGTAGTGATAGGTGCCATCTACTTCTTCTGGTCTCAGGTTAGAATAGGGCATGATTCATGTGTTAGTCCTGTGGACTAGTTTCCTTGAATGTTTGCTTTCCTTCTTTCTCTTAACTCCAGATGAATAGAAACAATAGTTTTATCTTAAGTGGCTGTTTGCAAGATTTTAAGACTGCAGGTGCTACTCATTAAACTGTTGTTGTTGTTGTTGTTATGTGCCGTCGAGTAGGCCCCAACTCAGAGCGACCCCTCCTTGGGTTTCCAAGGCAGTATCACTACGGAAGTAGGATTGCCCAACCTTCCTTCCGAGGAGTGGCTGGTGGGTTTGAACCACCAGCCTTCTGGTTAGCAGTCAAGTGCTTTAGCCACTATGCTACCAGAGCTCCTAAACTAGGATATAGAATATTAACTTTATGAACTATTTTATGCCAGTTGACTAAGTTATCCACAAGAATATGGTCCTAAGCCCTTTAAACCAGTCCACCAATCTTGCACATTGTTTGGATATGTCTAGGAAGTCTCTGTAACTGTGCCTCCTTTGTGTTTTGTGATAATCTGTCGATATATATGCAGCACACACAAACATGTGTTTATATATGTCTGTATATACAATATAGCCATACTGAGTTTTCTGGTTTCCCCCACCACCTTTTCTGGAATATTCCTGGATCTTTTCTAGTATTCCAATAATCTGAAATTTCACTGTAATAATGCTTTGATATGAGTCTTTTTTCATTCTCTGTAGTGACAGAGATCCATGCCATCAAGTCAATTCCAACTCATAGTGATTCTACAGGACAGAGTAGAACCACCTCATAGGATTTCCAAGGCTGTAAATCTTCATAGAAGCAGACTGCCTCATCTTTCTCCTGTGGAGTTGCTGGTGGGTTCAGACTGCCAGCGTTTTGGTTAGCAGCCCAGTGCTTTAACCACAGAGCCACTAGAGCTCCTTTGGGTTGTTTGTAGGTCTTTTAAGTCTAGAAAATCACATTCTTCAGTATGGAGGTTTCTTAGATTTTTTCTTTCAATTTCTTACCTGTTGTTTCTATATTCTTTTTTCCTAGAAATTGTTTTTTCAGATATTGCACCTGAACTAATCCTTTAAATTTTTTAATGATGTTTTTTCTCCTGTTTTCTGTTTTTGCTTTACTGTAAGAGTATATCCATTTGTTGAAGTTTTTCCTTTTGTTGTCAAACTTCTAATTTTCAAGAGCATTTGTTCTCATATTCTTCTTTTTGTGATGTCTTTCTGTTTGTTTTATCTGTCTGAAGATATCAATGATATGTATGTGTTTTCCTGTCTTTCAAGCAGCCTTTTATTTTGTCTTGATCTCCTGTCTTTAATGTTAAATGCTTTCCTTCAGGTGTCATGTGATTCTTGCCCAGTGAGGTACTAAAAAGCTGATTGAAGTGTTTCCTGGTATAGCCATTTCTTAAGTAACTCCATTGACAGCATTTTAAAATCTTTCCCATATGGCTGGTTAGAGTTCCCAGAAAAGCATCTTCTAATCTTCTGCCTGCAGAATGATGAAGTTTGGCTGCCAGGGTTTAAAAAGCCTAGTAGGGAGTAGAATTTGATCATTTTTACTTGTTTCCTCTGTTTCTAGTATTTCTGCCCTCAGTCATGCTCAATTTCCCATAGTCCACAGGTTCTGTTCTACTCTTTCCAGGGAATGAGCCTCCAGTTTTGGGCATATGCTGTGAAATTGGCAGGAGATCAAGTACTTCACCTGTTATCTGAAAAAGACTTCAAGTCAACGCCCTTGTTTGTAGTCTAATATTCACCCCCTCATGCATGAGTTCCTTCTACTCCGAATTCTTGAGCCTTTCATGTTGATAAGGAGCTCTGGTGGTGTAGTGCCTAAAACATTTGACTGCTAACCAGAAGGCTGGTGGTTCAAACCCACCAGCCACCCTGTGGAAGGAAGACTGGGCCATGTACTTTCATAAAGATTTACCGCCTTGGAAACCCAAAGAGGGTTGCTGTGAGTTGGAATTGACTTGATGGCAGTGAATTTCTTTGGTTTTTGGTTTATGTTGTTGTAACTTGGGTTTCTTCTTGGCTTTTCCCAAAGCTCATTGGCCTACTGTTTAGCTTTCTGTAGGCTGCTAACAGTTACTACTAACCCATCTGCTTTCTACCTTACAAAGTTTATTGCTTTTTCCCTTTCCTTCTTTGTTCTTTTTGTCCTTGTTGATTTATAACTTTAAAAAAATCCCCTTACTGACATTTTAATGGAGTTTCCAGGAGTTTAAGAAAAGAAATGCTTGTGTTCAGCTTATTGTTGAGCCTACTGCCATTGAGTCAGTTCAGGTTCGTAGTGACCGCCAATGGGTTTCCAAGGCTGTAAATGTTATATTGAAATAGATTGCTTCATCTTATTCCTGCAGAACAGCTGGTGGGCTTGAACCACTGACATCCTGGTTAACATCCAAATGCCTTATCCACTATGCCACTAGAAATTCTTATGTGTAAAATATTAATTAAATAGATCTAAGGAGTAAGTAAACCAAATGTTGAATTAAAAACAACAACAACAACTAGTTACTTAATTTGTTTTTAACTTCCAGAATAATAGTATCAAACATTTACCTGAATTTTAGAGCATATACCCCTCAAGAAGTTTAAAAGGAAGATTAAACATTAAATTGTATAGTCTGTGTTAGTACTTCCTGGATTTTTAATCTGAGCTGAAAGGCTTTTTCTTTGGGGCATGCTATAAAAATATACAGTATATGCAGAAGTACACAGATCCTAAATATTTAGTGTGACGATTTTTACAAAGCTTTATGAACCATAAGACCCAGAAGAGATATATTTACTGCTCAGAGGCAGTGCTTTCTTAGAGTGAAAGTTCTTGTGCATTCCTTCTCATGAGTGGCCCCTGAGTTCTCAACTCCCAGGTAGAACAGTCCAGCTCTCAGTGATGCGGGTCTCCATCATCCCCTTCTCTTGCTTCTTATTTAATCTGACAGGACAAAGAAGCTAATAATGATAGCTTCATCCTTGTTTTTTTTCTTTTGAATTGTGGTAAAAATATATATATGTACGTGTACAAGTATATAGCAGCGCATTTGCCAATTCAACAGTTTTGTATGTACGATTCAGTGATATTAATTATGTTTTTCATGTTTTGCAACCATCACTACTATCCTTTTCCAAATTATTCCACCATCATTAAGAGAAAATCAATACCCCCTAAGCAAAGATTCCCTATTTCTCCCCCCCCACTTCTTTCTCTTGAATAGAAACAGTTACTGTTACTGTTACTCATCAGACATTTTCATGAACTCATTAGAACAGTCTTCCATATGAGATCACGAGGACAGCATTTGGCCATGGACAGAAGAAGGAAGTTGGATGGGGATAGGAAGGACGGATGAAAGGAAAGAGTAGACATGAGGAGGAAGTGAGAAGAATGCTGTTGCATTGTGGGGATTGCGGTGAATGTCACAAAACAATGTGTATGGATTGTTGAATGGACAACCTATTTGCTCTGTAAAGTTCATCCAAATTAAAATTGGAAAAAAAAAAGTCATACAATACAGGATGCCAGTTTTCATATCTCTTAGTCTTTTGACAACTGGGGAATTAAGGGAGCTTAATAATCCACATTCTCCTTCCCTAAGCCCTGTGTTACTAAGAGATTAAGTTCTGTTGTTGGTGTCTGATTGATTCCATACCTTCTGTACTGTGTGGATTAGTTCCCTGTGGTGCACAATTTATAAATAACAGTCCCAGTTTCTTTTGAGAGAAAGAGGAATCGAATAGAAAGAGTATAATACAGGGAAGCTAGAACTTGTTGTCAAAGCATTGCTTCACTTAGGTCAGGTATGTCTTAAGGGCTGAAGGGAGTACAAGTCCCTCCCTCTATGTGCCAGGGATACCCACTGTCTTAGGGAAGAGCACTGTAGGGCTCTGCAGAGGCCACATCCTAGAAGGCTGGGCTTTGTGCAGGTGCTGTCCTCAGCACAGTAACTGCAAGTTTCTTGGAATGCTTAAGTTTGAAGAATTAAGAGAGGTGTGGGATTTTGAAGTCCTTTTAGGTTTGAGTCCTAATAAGCTTAAAAAGCTATTATCTGGAGTAGGTGAGTAGAAGTTCAAGAAAATTCCACAGAGACTGTATAATTTGACATCCGTACAGATAGGAGAATTCTAACATGGATGCTGATTATGGATAGCTAGCTTCTTTCTGTCTTTGATATTAAGAGTATAAATCATTTCCTGTGGCTGTGAGGGAGTTCATTTCTTACTTAGGCAAAGAATAAAACCAAAACCAAACCTACTGCCACTGAGTAGGTTCCAACTCATAGTGACCCTATAGGACAGTATAGAACTGCCCTATATGGTTTCCAAGGCTATAAATCTTTATGGAAGCAGACTGCCTCATCATTCTCCTGCGGAGTGGCTGGTGGGTTTGAACCATCAACCTTTTAGTTAGCAGTCATACACTTTAACCATTGTGCCAAGTGTATCTTATTAAATTGGTATGTGGTCTAAGGGAAAAACACTAGTTGCAGTTCTTTCAGGCAGTTTAGAGAGGTATTACTGGAAAAGGAAATAGAGTAAAGATACTCTGTGGTATAACAGGACAGAAAGATACATGTTGTTATAGTTTTGTTAAATATAAATAATACCTGTTTAATTAGTCCTGTTGTATGTATGGAGTCCCTAGTTTGTGCAAATGATTAACTTGCTCTACTGCTAATTGAAAGATTGATAGTCTCAGTCTAGTCAAAGGTCCCTTGAAGATAGGCCTAGCAATCTGCCTCTGAAAAGTCATCCTTGAAAACCTTATGGAGCATGGTTCTACTAATGGTAAATAAGATGTCAACGTTCATATTGTAACAGAGCCCAGAAACACTGACCTTTTTTTGTTATACATTCTCTTACAACTCCCTAATAATTTTTCAAAATCTTTCAGTATTTCAAAGGAACTTTAGGATTACAGCCTGGAGATTCAGCTTTGTTCATCAATGGACTACACATTGATTTAGATACACAGGATATATTTAGGTATGTATCATATTTTTCATTCTCTAGAAAGTTTTCCTTCCTGTAGCTCTTTGTGACATGTTCAGATTGTTATTCCTCCATAATTGGCATAAAAGTTTGGTGGCTTATCACGTCCCAAGGAGTGCATATAGGTGATGAGATGGACAGTAGATATGCTGCCTCCTTATTTTACAGTACTGTGTATTTTTAAGTGTAACTATTTTTCCAGGATTCCATTTTAGAGCCTTAATTTTCTGCTAGCCATAAAAATATAGAAAAAAGCAGGTTCTTTTGCTTTTGAGAAAAGTATGAAGTAGGTTCATTTGAAAATGCTGTCTGTGGTGTATCAGAAGATACTCTATTTAAATATGACTTTAGAATATTTCCTTTTTTGTTTATTAAAATATGGTTCAGGATTAAATAGATTTAAATAGTCTTCATGATTTTTTGGGGGGTTTGCACAGTCAAATAAAACTTTAGATTTTATCTTTGGTATTAAAATTGACATAATTGACAGAGTGACTTCATAATATTACAAACAAAATCTATTGCTAATACTTGAGAACAAGCATTTTCCACAGTAAGGTATCTTACACATTAATTCTTTAACCTTTTATGCTTATTTATTACAGAGGTAGTAATGAGTTAGTAAAATTAATGTGGACACTTTAAAAAATTGTCCATATCTATTTTTCATTGATTGATTCAACATATATATTTTTTTATTTTTAGATTATAGCTGATATTTTAGATTATTTGCTCATTGTAAATAGTTTTAAGTAGTACAGAAATACGAGAACTAGAAAATAAAGTCTTAGTCTCATTTTCTTTTACACCCTCTCATCTTCTCATCCTTTATCTGCAAACTTATAAATTTGGTTTGATTTCTTCTAGACCTTTTCCTGTGGTCATATGTGCATGGTCTTATATATGCTGATATTGATACTGATACTAAACATACATGGTGACTTTTTAAAAAACTTTATTTTCAGATAGTTTTAGATTCACATGCAGTAGTAAGAAATCATACAGAGAGATTACGGTAGTGTTATTTAAAATGCAGTGTAAAATAATAGATTCAGGGTTATTTTATTCTCAAATTATGTGCTCATACTTAGAGATAATTATATGTATTGACAAGTATAAATAAATATGATCTAAGAAGTAAGTCCTTACTTTAGTCTATGTACTTTGACAAGATGAAGCAAGAGAAAGATGGCCATTTTTTAAATTTTTGAACTAGTGTGATAGGGCATTTAGTTTGAACTGATAATTATTTTTTCTTCCCATAGTAAGGATCATAGCATGGACATTCTTAAAAGCTTTTATTTATTTATTTATACTTTTTTTTTTATATATATTCTCTTCAGTTTATCTGATGTATTGAGGAATGAAGCACGGGTAATGGAAGGTCTACATAGATTGGGCATAGGAGGCCTATCTCTACATAATGTTTTGAAACTGAACATCCAGCCCACTGAGGCTGACTATGCGGTAGACATCAGAAGTCCTGCTATTTCCGTGAGTATTCTTTTAGGTGTCCAGCTAGGTATCTCTTATGGTTTTCTAATTTGTCTTTTATGAGAGGTAAATTATTGTCACTGTTAGTTTTTTTTTTTTTTTTTTTACCATGTAGGAAATGAAAATTTATTTCTTTTTATTACTGTTTGTTTTCCCCAATTTTATTGCAGTGAAAACATAAATAAGACATTTGCCAGCATAACAACTTCCACATTTACAGCTCAGGGACATTGATGATATTTTTCATGTTGTGCCACCATGATTGCTGTCCTTTTCCAAAATCATTCCGCCACCATTACCATGAACTCAATGCCCTGCAAACAAAAG